GGATGGTCTCGATCTCTTGACCTCGTGATCCACCCGCCTCGGCCTCCCAAAGTGCTGGGATTACACACAACAGTTTTTATAGGGAAATTTATAATATTTTATGGCTTCTGGAGTTGGAATTATAATTAGAAATTTTTTCTTTATTTTGTAATTATAAAGGAGTACACTTAATTTTTTCATTTGATTTATATAGTTTTATATTTTGTTTGATTGATTGATTGATTGATTGAGAGAGACAGGGTCTTAATGCTGCTCAGCCTGGAGTGCAGTGAGATCATAGCTCACTACAGCCTTGAGCTCCTGGGCTGAAGTTATTCTCCTACCTTAGCCTTCCAAGTAGCTGGGGCTACAGGTGCATACCACCAAACCTAGCAAATTTTTTTTTTTTTTTTTGGCAAAGACAGGGTCTCACTATGTTGCCCAGGCTGGATAGTTTTATATTTTTACATTGAAACTTTTGATCTATTTAGAGTTAATCCCATGTGAAATATGTAAAATATGGCGTCAATTTTATCTTTTTCTAAATTGCTATCTGGTTGCCACACCATGTGTATTTACTAATTGATCCTACTGTTTTGAAATTCTTCACTTCTTTTATTTTATTTTTTCTTCTTTTTCATCCTTCCTGAGCCCTGTGCGTTTTCTTCTGTGTTCCTGTTGTCCGGTCACGTCTTTGAAGTTTCAGGGTGTTTTTCCCTGCAGCCTTCTAGCTGTGTGGGTATACTTTTCTGGCGCATTTTCTTCTGCTTCTGAGAAACAATAATTGGTTTTTTTCTGTTAGTGGATATGGCAGTTTTACTTACTCTTTTGCTTGTATTCAAATTATTTGTAGTTTTCTGAATTTTCTGCCAGCATGAGGGTCCTGTGAGGGTGGAAGACTCAGGTCAGCCGCCCCAGAATTTACAGTTTCTCTGCCACGTGGTTTGGGCTCTTTGTTCACTTTCCATACCATTTCCCTCTGCTTTTCCCACTGCTCCCTGCTCCACCCCGTTCATTCTCAGATCTGCCCAGAGCAGTTCCTACTGAGCCTGAGCTCCTCTTCTCCTGGTGGTGAATATTTGCTGATGTTTCCTGAGTCTGCTACTTACTGTGCCCTGGCTCCCCACCCATTCTTACCTGGTGCCCCCCTCCCATGTCATCAGTTCTGATGATGTGGGTGTCCCCTCACTTACGCATATTATTTGAATAAACATTAGAGGTTCTAGTTATTCTTCCAGCTGCTTTTCATGGTTTTTACTGGTAAAAAGTAAAAAGCATGAAGGAAGTGTCAAATGTGAGCAGTGCCCATACCTTTTCTAGAGTCTGGATAGATTCCACATATATCTTTGAAAACGGATAAATATGAGCTTAGCTTCAAAATACTGAATATTAAAGTAAACATCTGATTAAAAAAATTTTGGTCCCAGTCCTTTCTACAAATACCAGGAATCTTTAGTACGTATTTGGTATATAATCTTCGACAGCATTGGATAGGGTGACATGAATTCGAAGTTTGTTTAATGCTGCTTTCTCTCTTGACTTCTGTTTTCCAAGTCCACAAGTTAGGGCTTAAATGAACTTTACTAAATTCTCCTGTGAAGTAATGTTTTTGTTGTTGTTGTTGTTATTCACATGGTAGTAATTATTTCAATTTAATGCAAATGTCATAGTGATCCAAAGAAAGAAGTCTTCAGATTACTCTGTAGAGCTATTTTGGGCCATTTGTGATTTATCAGGAATCACCATTAGGGAAAATTTAAATACTAAGAGAAGTGTAGTTCAGTATGCTTCATAAACTTTCTAAGTGGCTAGAGGAGCTCCATTTTTTTTTCTGTCTCTCATTATTCTATGAAATGTGTTTTTATGTCTCCCAAGTCTAGCAGCATCATACATTTGCTGCTATAAATGTCTCCCATCAGAAGGCCAAATAAGGAAGTTACAATTATAGAAATGTTTTCCCTAAAGACATTAGCCACATGCGGACGCTAAACGACTTGCTCTATTTCAGTTTTTCTCATTTGTATTTTCCAGACGTACATTCTATATGAGCTTGGAAGGCAGCTCGCAGAGTCTGTGCTGACAAGCTTATTTTCTATGTAATGTGGAAGAAACACTGATATTGAGATTTTACTGAGCCAGACCTGTCTGTGAACACGCAGGTATGGCAGAAGATTCACGGTACTCTCTTCATGTCCTCACATCCTCTGTCACTTAAAACAAATTGTGGTAATCTTGGGTGAAAAATAGTAAACTATAACTCGCTCACATCATTTTATTATTTATCCGTCTTCAAAGAGTGGCACATTCACATCTCTTTGGTTTTGAACTCCTGTCAGCAAAATCTGAATCTCAAATATGACTGTTGTTTCCTCTTGCTGTTGAGTGTTTCTTCTTGCTTAAAGCTTAGCTCATCCTGACACCGCGTGTTCAGTGTACCATACACCAGGTATTGTGAGGTGCTACGTTTCCAAACCCCGGTGAGATGCTGGCCCTTTTCTCATGGAAATCACAGCCCAGAGAGGGAGACAGCACATTGTGATAATACAGTCAGACAGGCAGAATAGTAACAAGGCACGTGGGACATGGAGGACTGGAGCAGAGGAACAGCCCGTGGGGCAGGTGGGGGAGGTGTGTGCATATCTGTCTGTGAATGTGCTCAGGGTTCTCGGGTCCTTGGCTCTCCTGCACTCCTTTGTCTGCTTCATGCTGGGAAAGCTTTTGCGGTAGAACTTTGCCAACTCTCAGCCTGACCTGGCATTTTTGTACTTTAAGCTGAAGGCAATTGATAGCTCTTTGAGCTCTGTGTGCAAGCATTACATGATTGAGTTGGGGCTTGTTTATAAAGTTCATTTCTGTTGAGATGAATCCAGCCCTAAGTTGCATAAACACCAGTACTGAGGTGTGTGTACAGGTATTTGTGTATCTTCTAGCTTCCTATATATTTTCTTTGTGATCTGAGTTAGCAAAGATCTATAAAATAGATCTATAAAATTGGATTGTATTTTTGAGCATGAAAATAAATCTTTATTTTCAGTTATTACCCACCAGTAAAAGAAAGTTAGGTTCACAGTGCTAGCTCTTGACACAAAGTAAACTAGGAGGCAAATTTATATCCATCAGATACAACTAATGGACCAACTTTTTAAGTTCAGCCTACCTGGAAAGCTTGCAACATATCAGATATTGCTGTGTGGTCTTTCACAACAGCAATGGATGACACTGAGTAGAAGTTGTGAAGTGTTTTTAATAGCAGGTGTGTTCTGTAGTATGTTGCTGGAAATCAAGAGGCTATTGTTAAGTGTGCTCTGAATGAAGAGACCACCTAAACAGGCTTTGTGTGAGCAACAATGCTGTTTCTTCACTCGGGTGCGAGTAAGCTGAGTCCAAAAAAGGAGTCAGCAGAGGGTGGTGGGATAGGAGTTCATTTTATAGATTTGAGGTAGGCAGTGGAAAGTTACAGAAGTTATAGTTCAGGGAGGTTTTTGCAAGCCAGAGGGGTGTCGTGGGAAGGCGGGGGGGCTGTTGCAAGATCCAAGGTCCGGTGTCACAAGATTGGCTTATCAGTTGAGGCAGGAACAAAGACAGAATGTTGCAAGGTTGGTTAATCAGGCACTGCAGGAGCTAGCTATTCTTCTCCTTTTGTAGTTTTTCTGTTACTTTAGGCTTTCTGGCTCCAGGGGGGATTTTGGAGGTGGGTCACAGAGGTCACCATGGCTTGACTACAGTGTAGTCCACGGTTCAATCAGTTCAAAGAACCTTGCAGTTATTTTTAACCAAACGCTCATAAACTTCACCAATCTATAGAAATATTGAAATAGGCCAGGTGACATTTATAATTTTTTAAAATGCATATGTTTGCCTTTCTTGAACCATGACCCAGCCTGTCATAGTATATCAATTTATATAATATGCTTTCTGAAAGAAAGCATTTCTGTGATCTGTCTTTTCTGTTTCCCCTTTTTAGATTTTCTTCTAATATTTCTAGTGTTTATTCTTATAGTTACCTTCATTAAAAACTATATTTCTGGTTTACTTTCATGTCCCCTGGTGCAGTGGTCATGAGGTTGCTCAATGAATGTTTGTTGAAGCAAGTCATGCCAATGTGGCTCTGTCTTAGCAACTATTTTTCCAATAATTTTCTCACCCACCTTCCATCCATTTTACTGTTGTTTATGTAATAAGGGGTTCTATATCCTGTTATTTGTAATTTTATTTAATTTACCTGCCTATTTTGACATTGCATTCAGTTTTACAACCTTATTTTCAAAAACTATTGAGATCAGCCTTTATTTTGAACTGGTTTTAATTCATCCTCCCACTCGGTTTAGACCACCTCCCACCTCTATTCTTTGGTTCTTTGTTTAGGTTATCTGTTATTTATCATTTCAGAGTCATTGTTATCAGAGCAGGTTTGTGGGCCTTCTTTTGGTGGTTTTACTACTTTTGTACATGAAAAACTATGTGAGTGAAGAACTATTTTGCTGTGGATCTTTTCCCTTCTAAATGCTGCGAAAGTCACTTTCTAGGAGAAATTCCTAATGTAGATGACAGGGTGATGGATGCAGCAAGCCACCATGGGACATGTATACCTGTGTAACAAAGCTGCACATCATGTACTCCATAACTTAAAGCATAAGAAAAAGAAAAAAAGAAAGTCACTTTCTTATATTCTGGAGTTCGGTATTGCCAAGGGAAGTTCTTTCATCAGTATAACATTTTGTTTTTCTTTTGTAAACATTCTTTTTGTTTTTATAGCTGTAGGATTTTAAATTTTATTTTTAAAATTTAAAATTTTCAACAGGGTTCTTCCTCCTTTTGCCGTCCTATTCAATGACCCCTGTTTTTGGTCAGGTGCTGGCCTCTTCTCAGCTTGTTTCTGTTGACTCTCTAAGTGCAGCTTGTCCTTCATTTATTCTCTTGCTTTCCTCTGCAGTTCCCATTACATTTCATTGACAATTTCCATTTTTTCTTTGTCTGTATCTGTTATCTTGTCTTGCATTATTTTCATCTATTTATTCTTACACTTTGATTCTGTGACTGCATCTCATGTTTGCTTTCTGATTATACCCATTTATTTGAAGTGTAGATTGTATGCTTTCTCCTTCTAATACAGAATCTGAGTTTCCATTTACATCTCAACTCTTTCCATCCTCTTTCCCTTTCTTCCTCCCTCTCTCTCTCATATTTCTCTCTTTTTTTCTTGAGGTCATGTTTTCTTGGATTAGTTTCTGTCCAAGCAGAATAGAACAAAACACTTCATTTCTTCTCTCTTGAATATACTGTTCCCTTTATGTTGCTTTGGAAAATGTTTTTGTGAGGAGAGCTCCAACTGTTGTTGTAAACTATTGTTGCTTGCTTACATTGCTTGCCAGTGGTTGTTGCTTGCTGTTTATTGTCATTGATGTTGGTTGGTGTTTTTGTTGATGTTACTATTGTTGCTTGTTGTTTGTTATCGCTTTTGATTGTTGTTTGCTTTTGCTTTTGACTGGCTGAGGAGTGGCCTGTCCAGGCCCAGGAGGATTTTCTTTGTTCTCTGACACTACCTACCTTCTTGCTGTTACAAATCAGTGTGAAATCGTGAGCTGAAGGACTGGGCTCTGTCAACTTCAATTTGCCAGATACTTCGTTTGTCTAGTTTGGCTCATCTTTTCGATAAGGGAAGGCTTATTCCTATCGTATCTTACGGCATTATTTTTAGGAGAATTTACCCATAATTCGTGGAAGCATCTGCATTTTTTATCTTAGCATAAACGCAGCATGAAAAACTCTTTTCTTTGTAGGACACTGCATGCACGGCTTTCTTTCTGCTCCTTCCTATTACCTCCGCCATGTGCCAAAACAAAGTGTGCAGTGGCCTATTTCTTCACCCTGTGGAGATGGCTGTAATGATGACTCAGTGAGAATTGGTGGAGAAAGAGCAATATCAATGGGGATGGTTGGGTTGGGATGATGACATAGTCCAAGTTACTTCAGAAAAGAGTTTCGGCCAACAATTGGCAGCGGGGATAGGAAAAAGCACATATAGAAATCTTCCTGTTTAAGCTTGCTGGTTTTTTGTTTTACTTCACCCTGTCCATGTTTTGTTTTGTTATTAAAGAGACAGAGTCTTGTTATGTTTGCTGTGTTACCCAGGCTGGACTCAAACTTCTGGGCCCAAGTCATCCTCTCACCTCAGCCTCCTGAGTATCTGTGATAACAGGTGACTACCACCACCTGGCTTGTCCACGGTTTTATTGATAAACATCTCTCTCAGGGTATGTCCCATGTAACCAGTATTTTTAAATTCTAGAGTGTTTGTTAGTTTGCATTTCATCTGAAACAGGAATAGATTAGGATGCAATGGCTGCTTCTGGCTTTAGCAATTGCCATCATAATCCAGAGTTTTTATTAGAGCTTGGTGTGGACTTCTTTTCAATTAATTTTTTTTTTTAATAGAGACAGGATCTCACTTTATTGCTCAAGCTGCTCTCAAACTCCTGGCCTCAAGTCATCCATCCTCCTTAGGCCACCAAAGCGTTGGGATTACAAATGTGAGCCACTGCACCCAGCTTTAGTAGGCTTTTTTATTGGACTTTTCCAGCACAGGTTTCTGTCACACCTTTTCTTTTTCTAGTGCTCTTGCAGGCCATCCTCTAGGATCCCTTCACCCTACTCCCCATGATCGGCAGAATTGAAGGCAGATGGCAGGACTGTGATCTTAGTTCAAGAAAATGATCAAAAAAAGGAACTTTTTTTTTGTAACATCAGAATGAGTCTGATTTATTACTTACTGGCAACTATCTAGTTCTTTGACTAATTTAAGAGTAGAGTTTTTAGACCAAAGTAAATCTTTTTAGAACAAGAAGAACTTAAAATGAAGACGTTCTGCATGACCCACATCTAAGGAAAATCAGATAAGTCTCTAAAGAGATATATTAAGCTCTTTTCTCGTTTCCTATTTGCAAGTATGGCCTGTCATTTGAAGGATTTACAAAATGCTCACTTAGTTTCCAAGGAAGCATTCATTTTCTATTTGAGTGCCTGCCCTGTGCTCAGCACTGGGAAGAACAAGTTAGAAAAGACAAGTTCTGAAGATGTGGGAGTAGAGTTGGTGAATATGGGTGAATTTATTCTAGTGCAGGACGGATTATTTTGAGTCCGAGTATTTTTTTCAAATTTGCCTGCAAGTTTTATGTAGGAACATTTACTGTTTACTTGCAAAGTCATCAGAAATTCACACTTCGACCTAGCGTGCCTACTGATGTTTAAGCCTACATTAACACAATATCTAGGATTTAAACAGTATATTTTTTATATAAGTAGATCAGCATTTTCCCTGTTTAGAATTTAACAGTAGAATCCATGGACTTCCTAGGGAACCAAAGTCTGGCAGCTGTAGTTTCACATACATGTTTTTGAATTAAAGATATAGTCTGTTTTAAGGAATTGTTTTGATTTTGTTGATTTCCATTACCTAACATTTTGTATTTTAATTGGGTTAATAAAGCACAAATTGACTATATTATCGAGGCGTATGAGGATGCAGATGTAAAATGTCACCGTAGGCAAGAGTTAATGGAATCAAGATGGTGCAGGGGAACACGCCACCAGTTCAACTGCAGCCTCAAGGTAGTCAGTGACATTTAAAAAATGTCTGCTGAAGCCAGGCAGCCGGTTCATTAGATTAATTAAAGTAAAAACTAACCCCAATCTGGTGTTTTGATAATAACCACGGTGCTGCCACAGTTGGAATAAGCTAATGCTTGACATTGTTCTCATTAACATCACAGTAGAATTGCCTTTATGGGTTTCTTCTAAACTTTCAAACTCACCTTTTAGCATTCAAGTGGACTTTTAGCTTTCTTGACTGTTTTCTCATGGTTTAAGTAATACACAAAGAGGGTAAATTTTGTTTTTATTAAAGGTGACAACCTCTTTTCTGCCTCTTATACTCCTTATGGGACATTAGAGAAATCAAGGCAGCAACTGCAGGGCTCTGCAGTGCCATTGGCTGTCTGTTCTGGCAATTCTACAGCAAGAGAAGGTTGTCTACACTGTCTATGGTCAAATGCAGCGATTTTTTCCACATTTTAATCCATTGCACACTGACTTTTCTGTAAAGCACAATAAAAAGGAACTACTAAAATAATAAAGTAGAAAAAAAAGAGATACAGTAGAAAAAATAGAAAGTAGAAAAAAAGCTGAAAAAAAATAGAAGCCGCAGTATTTTATTAGATGCAATGTTTATAAAATTACTCTGCCAAATTGTGCTTAAGTTTCTCAGTGGCTGCATTTAATTTTGATACTTGTTCTGGAATGGCAGCCAGCACTTTGCAGACCCTCCTGAGCCACACGGCTCTAGACTTCGTGTTACCATGTAAGCACCCCATTGGTTCTATGAAAAAGGCCCTGACCCGCCTTTCCCTGCAAAAATTGCTGACCTGGACAAAAACCTGATTCGGACATTTAAGTCCACATTTTCAGAAAAAGGTCATCAAGGCTGCTCCTGGTTATGACATTTGAGTATTTAGAATTCTAGACTATTTGTGACTTTTTTTTTGTTACTCAAATTGCTCACTTAAAAATACAATTAGTTTCATAAAGTCCCTGGTGAGAATGAGTTTAGATTAAAAAATACACACGCGCGCGCACA